TTATTCACTTATTCCGGTGTGACACCGGTAATAAGCACTTTTGAGTGTTTGGATAAACAACTTATACCAGTGCCAAACCGGTAATAAGAAGTTTTTAAAGAAGTTAAACCGTTCTGACTTATAATAAGTTGATAAGTGCTTTTGTAAAAAAACATAAGTTGTTTCAGATAAATACAAAATCAAACTATACAAACCCAGTATATCCCACCTGAAATTATAGGTACACCTCTTATTTAATTATTTGCTCAATAACTTTAGGAGTCTATTTGAGGTTATATCATAAAGAACCACATAAAAAAAAGATATATTTACTTTATAGCCACCGGACCAAATTTTCTTAGAAAATTGTCAAGAAATCGTAAGTCAACACTGCAAAACGCTTTTTCTTACGGTTTCATAAGCTGCAACATGGGGTTGTGGTTTTAGCAGCTCGCGAATTTGGTTTTAATTTGTGCTTAGACACAACGGACTACGATACCATAACTTGCGGTTTTCTAATGGTTTTTGCGCGGGCCCGTCAGATTTTGTTAGAAGCCGTAGAGAAAAGTGCCTTATAGTATTGACTTGCGGTTTCTCGGCTATTTTGTAAGAAAAATTTTAGGTGAATATAAAGTAAATGTTTTTTTTCCTTCAAGAGGTAACGTGTCTATTTGGTCCTCCATATATGAGGAATGAAAACACCATTATAACCAATGGCGGATCCAGGATTTTGGTTCAGTGGAGTCACCTTTAAGGTAAACTAAAGACCCGCAAAATCGTCCGATGTGTTTTTAACCTAATTACAACGTTTTCGAGGGAATTTTAAGGTTTTTTGGTTGATTTCGAGGGATTTTTTAGTGTTTTTGTCGATTTCGAATAACTTTTTTGGTTTTTTTGATTGATTTCAACGGATTTTTTTTGTTAGAGTAATGGTTTCGAGTGGGGTTGGGGGCCCATGGAAAAATGTAATAGAGGGAAGTGAAAGGTAAATCATGTAAAACCTAAATTTTAACCTATGATTTTTTTTTTGAGTTTTTGACTGGGATCCCTTCCCCCCTCATTTTTACCATTGCATCCGCCCCTGATTATAACGTAAAGATGAAAGATGAGGAGGCTCCTGCACCAAATGATGTTCCCTAATAATAATTACACATCAAATATGAGCTACAGTTTGTGATGAAATAAAATGTGGAGTGTAAAGTGGGGTTGCTGTGTTTTTGGATGCATATGGTATGGAATGGAGGGAAACCAATAACACATCCACTTGTACAGAAGTATTCACTACTAGTACTAGTACTAGTACTTTAAAGTACTTTGCTAACCATTCTTAAAACCCTTACACAAAATAAATAAATAAATATGCAATGAGAAATTGAACAAAATAGCATATATATACCTTACTAAATCACTTTTTAGTCATTTTTTCAATTGAATTACCATTTTAGGGCTGTTTGGTTGGTTTTTCATGAAGTTCTGTATGGATTTATCTGTTTTGTATATATTGAGAAAGTTTTTGTTTGGAGGGTTTTCTCATAGATGAAAGGAGAAAGTTTTTTAATTGGGAGCGATAGGTTTAGGAAAAACTTGGCTTTCTGCATAACACCCTCCCCCCTAAAAAAAAAGTTTACTGAATAAGCCACTTTTTATATCATTAAGCTGCTACCAAACAGTCATGTATAACTCACCAAATAAATTGAGTCCCATTAACCTCATTAAGCTGCTAACAAACAGGCACTTAGGCAGACTTTATGCAAGCATTTGCATAAACTCAGATTTTCTGAAAGATTAACTATTTTGGTCAATTTTCCATTTATATTTCTTTTAGAGCATTTAGTATAGCTTTTATATTTGTTTTAGAGCACTCAAGCTTATGAGGGTGCAGATGGTTGTGCATACAAGCAAAAGGATATTTGCTTGTTAACCCAGTATCCCACCACTAAAACGTAAAAAAGCCGGCTATATTTAGAGGGATACTATTCATAGCTTCTAAAAAATGGGGCTTTTAGAGTTTTGTGTTTTAGTGGGGATGAACCCATTTTTAGTGGTTTTTTAGAGACGTGGCTTGGAGTCTTGCAGATGGTCCAGTGTTTTTTCAAAATTGTGATTGTGGCTGAAAAGCGTATAAAAAAGCCTCCATTGTGGATGCTCTGGTTTTTCTTTCAATCTTTTTGCCAAGCTATTACCCTTCTTAAACACTTTTCACAAGTCAGGATCTTCACAGAAACAGTCATTCTACTAGTCAGTAAAGATCATCTTAAAAGAGCTGAATTCGACTGTTTGAATTTCTCAACTGAGATTTGGATAGACACAAATGTGGGGCATTTCTTAGAAATCAAGCTTCTACATTCTATCATTGGCTCTTTGTGTACAATAAGAGTCAAGTGAAGATAATGACAACCTTTTGTGATTCTTAAGTTTTTTAAGTATATATAAAGGTGAAGAAGAATCTAATGACACCTTTGTGTTTTTTTTTAAATCCCACTTCTCTTGTTTTGCTATCGTATGCATCCCAATCACTTTTTTCAATCATAATATATGTGGGTGGTCATACATGATCCTCCTAAATGTATTCTATCCCATGCATTTTTTTATTATATGTTTGAATATCAACCACGAGTGTGTGGATCATGCAAGAAATCGATTATTTTTAAGAAAACGAGAATGCAAAAAGTTACAAGATCATATATGATTACATGTGATATGAACACATAACTGATCCAACATGTCCAAGAGGGACGCTGGTGACTTGGTGAACGCGACCAAAAGGTCATCCGCTATATGTCGGTAAAGACAACATGTGTTGTATCATATGTGATTACGTATTCATGTCACATGTAATCATGTGTGAGTTTGGAACTTCTCTCCCTCGTTTGAACTTGACCCTATCAATTGCATACTTTTATTTTTATATTTCATCTAATTTTGACCGACTTATATATGATGATGGTCATTTTGGACAAGCACGGCAAAGGGATCCCGACCATTATTGATGGCCTGCGTTAAATGAAATAAAAGTGATATAGTCGATACAAGTGATCGATAAATTCTCTTTATCCGAATATATAACTAAAATATGTAAGAAAAACTATGAACTTGGTCTTTAAATCTTAACAAGACCCATAATTGGGCTGGTATCTTACAAAGCCCATTAACATCTATCATTCATGGCCCACAACTACGATGGGCCATTCCAAATATCCAACAACTACGTTTACACCAAAAGAGAGAACGAACAACTGGTCAAAGCGCTATATTTCATTCATTCGACCCATTTTGTGTACCTACGGTAGCAAATCTTAAAACCAACGGATACAGAAATACCTGTAATTTACGGCACTCGGCTGGGCCCGTGCTTGTGCTTTTCGAATACACTCGGATGCGGCCAAATTTTGTCGGGGATACAGACGGAGAAGCTAGTGAACACGTATTTACATTATGGCAAAATGCACTTTGCGTTTTTTTGGTAACTGTAGGTGTTCGGGTCAGCTTGTGCACAATTCTATTAATCCATGAGCCCTGAAGATAACAATTAGGAAAATCTCTTGTAGCACTCGAACTGGCGGCCTATAAGGAGCCTGAAGGCCTAGTCTTTAATTTTCGGTTGAGCTGACCCTCACTCCACTTTGTGTCATCGCATTTGTGTTTTATGTGGTGCAACAATTTGCCTACGCAATGTAAACCGTTCTTTGGAATTTTTTAATTTCTCCTAGTACATCTTTTCATATATCGAAAGTGAATTTGGTAGGCAGACAAGACTAGACTGGAGTGGACTAGACAGGTTGGCATGAACGAGACTGAGGTAGGTGGCTGAAAGAATTGTGAAAGGTTTTAGGATTTTAATTTAACAAAACTAATTTAGTAATTTATCAATCTTGTACCATCATCCTGGATTCTATTCCACCTATTTTGTTCTCCCACTTAGTATTGTCATGCCTCAGTCTATTGTCATGTCAAACGTAAACAGATTTTTTGTTCCGCATTTAACCTAAAAAATCATGAAAGCTCCTCATTTTTAATCATCCATCGAGTCATCAAAGAAACATAAACCATAAAGTTTTCAAGAACTCTCTCATTCTCCTTCGTGTTCATAATAGCCTTCATAATATAGAAACTCTCAAGACCAAATTAGGGGTCGTTTACCAAACACTTACAGGTAAAGTTTGACATTATCATTTACTTACCAGATAAGATTTTAGTACACCAAAATGGTATCGTATGCAACAATTTATCTGGTAAGCGCTTACCCTGGTAAGAGTCGTCGCTCACACTTACCGGGTAAGACTCTTGGTCCGTTTCTCGCTCTTACCGAGTAAGATTCTTGATCCTTACCATATTCATCCGGTAATGGTAAGAGTCGTCGCCCACACTTACCGGGTAAGACTTTTGTCCTTGTCTCGCTCTTACAGATAAGATTCTTGATCCTTACCATATTTATCCGGTAAGGTAATGTGACTTGGTATTCACTTACTCGAGTAAGCCACTTAGTCCAACAAACACCTAGTGTTACTAAGGGTCTGTTTGTTAGCAGCTTAATGAGCTTAATGGGACTCGCAACTTATTTGGTTAGCTATACATGACTATTTTGTAGTGACTTAATGATATCGAAAGTGGCTTATTCAATAAGCTTCTGGGGAGAGTTTTATGCAAAAAGCAAAGTTTTTACAAACATGCCCCTCCCAATTAAAAACACGCTTCTTCAGTCTATTAAAAAAACCTTCCAAACAAAAACTAACCCAATTTATAAAGACATATTGATCCACACAAACAACTTTATTTGTGCACAATTTAATAGAAAACGAACCAAACAACCCCTAAATTAAACCAAACTAAACCAAACCAAACATGCCAATGTATCCCACCCGAAGGTGGAGTCTCGGGGTCAAGGGTGAGATATAACCAGACCTCCACCCTAAAGAGTGGAGCGGCAGCACAGATTAATGCCCAAAAACTATAGGTCCATGGCGGTTTGTACGTTGGTAGAGAATGGGAAAGCATATAAATTGTACGGGAACGATGACAATGCAGGAACTTTGGTTTATTTTCATTAACAACATAAACATTTAACACAATGTTGAAAAAGGAAACTCCACATTCCACAACCTTAAAAAAAGAATGCAACAAACTTAACATCAAACTATTTACAGATATCATATGAAGTATTATAATGTCAAGGTGAAAGTTCAGAACCATACCCGACTACCAACTCGTTGTCGTTCACCCTGTTCTTGCTTCTCTCGTAATCAACATCATCCGTCGGCAACTCAAACCGACAAACAGGACACGTGTTACGAATACTCAACCATGGCACGATGCAGTCACCATGGTAATGGTGTCGGCATGGAAGCTGTGTCACTTTCTCCTCCATCGAAATCTCATCTTTACAAACTGCACAGATTACATGATCATGATCTTGATTATGAACAGGATCATGATCACCGTCTTTCGAATTGTTCGTTTTCAATACGACCGATGGAAGATTATCGATTATGGATTTAGCAGCCGGTGGGCTACCTCTTAAAGCTCTAACGGTTTCCACAAATTGACCGATTAAAGTATCGAATTCAGCTGTGTATACAAACCCTTCGTCTCCATTAGTTTCGAATTCAAGATCTCTTTCTAAGTTGTTAACAGCCAAAAGAATCTCCCATTCCAAAACCCCAACTGCAGAGTCTCCTTCTGATGAAATGTCAGATGAAACCGATATATCTTCGATCCTATCGATCACTGAACTCAACCCATCTCTATCATCAACCCTAGCAGTATCGAAAGTGGGACAATCCCAGAAATGTTCATGATTCATATCAGTGATTTGAATTCTTTCATCGTTTTGATCATTAACTTGACCTGGTTCGTCTGTACCAGAGTCGGATTCAGATTCGATTCCTACAACTCTTAGACCACCACCTTCAAACCCTAACCCTAGCTCCTCGATATTACTCGAAACAAAATCATCATCATGATCGTTAATCGCTTCAGAAACGCTAATTCCTTCATCGGTTCCGGAAACATGTTCGATTTCTCCACGAGAGTCGAACAAATCGGTAATGAAATCCATTTGGTCGTATTCTTCTTCATGACCGTATAAACAATCAGGGTAAACAGTTGAATCCGGACAATCGGATTCTGATTCTGATTCAGATCCAGATTCACATGAACAACAAGAACACGAATTCGAGTTTACCTGCGGATTGTGATGATGATGATGAGAAGGGACGAAAAACGATGAATTTAGAGGTGAAAACGGATCGAAATTGAAGGTGTAAGGAAGAACATCCCCTTCGTCGACGTTCACAAGATCATCGTCGTCGTCTTCTTCTTCTTCTTCTTCAACCAAACTAGAACAGTTAGTTATGGAATTATCTAGGGTTTGTTGAGATGACGAAATTGTTTCATCTTCTTCTTCTTCTTCGAGTACCTGGTGTTGTGGCGTATTGGGTTGTAGAGATAAAGCTTGGATATTCGACATGTCTGCCATTAACAGAGCTGGATCAAAAGATGGAAGGAGATGAAGAGGATTTTGGACGAAAATGATGAGGAAGACTTCGTTGCTCCTTCGCACACGCTCTTTGACAAATGGTTCCACACTCTCTTCCCTTTTCTCTTTTTCTTCGTCCTATTTTTGCCCACAGATTTCCAAGTAATTTGCTTCTAGAAGTTTATTTAGATTTTATCAACACTTTCATTCGTAACTTATTTCACCACTTTGTAAATTGAATGAAAAAATAACGTATTTTAATTTAATTTTTATTTTAGATAATATATTTTTAAAATTTATGTTTTAATATATAAGATGTAAAACTTTAAATATTTAAGTATCTGAATAATCTGGTGAAACATTAACTGATTACAATGTTGATGTGACAGTTTTGTATAAATAATGGGATGTACTTGGAGTCACAAATGCATGAGTAAGGGGCCGTTTACCCAAATGCTTACTCAGTAAATGCTTACCAGTAGAAATCAACATTTATAATTTATTTTTATCGGATAAGATTATATTACATCAAAACGGTATCCTATGCAACAATTTACCCGGTAAGCGCTTACCCGGGTAAGAGTCGTCACCCTCACTTACCGGGTAAGACTCTCCATCATAATTATCGCTCTTACCACATAAGATTATTGGCCCTTGCTATGTTAATCTAGTGAGAATAATTGTCCTGTAAGCACTTACCGACAAATGTTTAGTAAACGGCCCCTAAGTAATTCTGAGTATTTATGGTGGGTGTTGTTTTTTTTTTTTTTTAATTAACCTGGATATCTAACCCGCTATACAAACCGACTAATCCCAGGGCGACCACCTGCTTTGCAGATAGCCCGGAGTCACCGCATTTGAACCTCCGAAGCCACAAGGGGATTTTTGTTCCTGTTGGATTTGAACCTTGGACCTCCTGGTACTTTTGACCTTTGGAGTCAAGCTCAAACCAATCAGGCATCACCCTTGTAGTTATGGTGGGTGCTGTTTGATTTAATGTTGATGATCAAATGTCAAAGATCATCAGGAGAAACACTCAAATATCAAAGTTCAGTTTCTAAAGGACTGATAAATTATTTGCAATTGAGCCAACTTTTACTTTAATGAGCTATAGGTTTGTTCCTCTGTAGAAACTAAAACATATCCAATCCACTCATCTTCTAATCAGGTCGTTAGGTGTATCAGGGAAATCAGAAAGAGACTGATAAATTATTCCCCAAAATAAATTTCTGACTTGTTATACTATAGTTCTAGAACTCAAGTTAATCCCCAAATTCTGTATATAGCTTTAGAACTCAAGTTATGACCATAATGCAGTTGATTTATTACACGAGAAAGTGACGTAAATTGTATAAATGAGTTGCGAATGGATATAAATGTTTTTGCAGTTTTTGTGTGATTTGCTTATAACTCGTGGTGGATTAATAGATGATGGTAATATGAAAATCAAGGAGCAAGTTGTTATATTTATTAACATATTAGCACACCACACTAATAATAGGACCATCTAAGTTAGGTTCATCAGAAGGTTTTACGCTACAATCTATAATTTGCTATATCAGCAAACCATGGTGGCTCTGTTTGTTGTAACATCACAATTCTTTCAACAGGGAAGGTTTCAATAATGTTTCCTTCTCCTATCTCAGGTTTCTCTAACTTAGATAAATGATCTGTTACTTGGTTGTCGTATAGGTCGGGGGAAAACAATAAATCGGTATGTTCATCGAGTACTGCGTGCTATATTGCATTTGGGAGATGTGTTGCTTGTCAAACCAACTTCTATAGAAGATAGTTGTACGGTGTTACAGTGAACTTTCAGTAACAAGTTGTTAATGCTAACTCTCAGCGTGGTTAAGGTTAAGGTTGGCCATTTTGTTGTGTTATGTATATAATATTGTTTAGGTTGAGGTTGGCCATTTTGTTGTGTATGTATATGATAGTTACAATATACATGGTTTTGATACTTCAATATCTCAACAATATCATGGTGCATTTTTTTTTATCAACCTGGATATCCAACCCGCTATGCGAGCCGACTAATCTCAGGGCGACTACCTGCTTTGCAGATAGCCTGGAGTCACCGCATTTGAACGTGGCCACAAGGAGATTTTTATTCCTCATTGGATTTGAACCTGAGACCTCCTGGTACTTTTGACTTTTTGAGTCAAACTCAAACCAATCAGGCACCACCCTTGTGGTTATCATGGTGCATATTAATTTCATAAGCCTTGATCCATGTGCTAAATCCTCTGAATCTACAATTTTCCATTTTTCTAAAATTAAAATAAATCAACTTGTTTTTCATGCATACGTCAAATAATGGAATATGTAGTTTTGAGTATTCTTATCGTGTTTCTTGCAAATGCTTTTAATTATGTTTGAGATTGTTTAAACGGAAACGTCGGAATTTATATTTTAGTTATAAGTTGTAAAACTACAAACTACTAATGCATAAGTCGTTTTTTAAAAACACTATTATCGGGCTATTTCATTTCAAAAGCTTTGACCAGTGGAACATATCAACTTTAAATTTAGATGATATTTGGTTCTTGATTTAAAATCACAATAAACTATAAAACTTGCATGAAGATGGATGAAGAATAAAACAAAACAAGATCGTTGTTTCGGGTTCTTGATTTCAGAATCAAAATGTCTCGTGCTGCATTTATCAATGAATTCCAGAGGAAAAAAAAAAGCTACCCATTTCATTTATCAATCGTTGGCATTGTTTGAAATTGGGGTTTCTTTTTTCTATATGAGAGTTCTATGGGTTACAATCATGTGTTGTCTGTTAAACATGGAAGATGCACGCTTTGTGTTTGATGAAATGCCAAGGTGTTGTGTTGATGTGTCATGGACATTTTGTATTGTAGTATACATATATAAACATCATCAACAATGTTGAATCCATGTTCTAAACCACTATTTTCCAAATTTCTTCTAGACAATGGAAAAATAGCAACAGAATTCATCATGCAGTCAAAGGAAAAATAGCCAACAAGTAAGTCTACCACATAGAATGCATCTTCTTGGTTAACCACGGGTTATGCTTCCTTCCAAATGAACTTGCATTCAAAGTTATGCAAGTATGTCTCAATAGATTAAACAGAGGACGCTTGTTGTTGGTGTAAGCCAACAACTGAACTAATAGAAATTATCAAGCGGAGAAAACCATAGAAAATAGGATGTGGCAAATCCATGTACTGAGTGTTTGTATTTTGGCCATTGATGTGCATGCTTTGTTTCTTTCAATAATCATTGATTCATTACAAGGGCAAGCTATTTGCTCATTTGTGAACCTGAAAATGTGTTTACACAGGTTTGAGTCAAGGTTATTGATTTGTGTTGTTTCGAGTCAAGGAGTTGCTAGTGCTAGTAACGGCTTTCATGTCGGATTTAGATCAAAACCTAAAGCTAAATCAGAAAAATCGTGATGCTTTCCTCACCTCCTGCTTGCGGTTGGGGTTGATCACGAGTTAGGTTGATCGGGTTGAAGACATTTGAACAACCCAACCCAATGCTTGCGGTTTGGAAAAATCTTAACCCAACCCAATCCAAACCAAAGTGTAACCCAACCCACACCCGTACGGGTTGGTCGGGTTGATACTTTAGTATATTAAAATATTCTTCAAACCTTGAATATGTTATTTCTCTACTCATAATTTCTTTTTCATCATCAACCATTTGATACAACTTATCCATATTTCTTACGTACATCACATTCAGTTAATTTTCTCAATTTACATATATATGTCCACAGTTACTGAACATATATGAATGAGTTATATAGAGATATGAATAGATTGAAAATATGTATATATGAAAAGCATACATGATAGTGTAATTGTCTAATGTATATATTAATAAAAATTCAACAATTATATTAAATCCAAGAAATAAAAGGATATCGGGTTCATCGGGTTGGGTTGAGTTCAAATAATAATAACCCAATATCAACCCAACACCTACGGTTTGACAATTTTTCAACTCGATTAGACATCGGGTTGCTTCAGGTTGAGTTATTTTGCATTGAGTTAGATTGATCGGGTTGGTCGGGTTTTTAGCACCCCTAATAAGGGGTCGTAGTGACGAACAAGGAGGGTGATCAGAGTTGGGGTCAGTTAACAATCAAACGTAGCAGTCACTAGCATGGGGATCTAAACCGTCAGAAAAGTACAACCACATGACCCATTTCGTTAATTTTTCAAAGGGTGTTATGGTTTGCACCCCATTATTTAGATTTTATATGTTTTGACTTTCAACCTCACCTACCCATCATTATTTTTCTTAGATTTCCTACGCTACCTACCCATCATTATCTTTTTTTTAGTTTTCCTATCTTTAAAAGAAATCTTGAATTCCTCAATTTCTTTCTTGAATTTTGCTTTAACATTAATATCTAATAACTGGTTTTTTTTAATTATTAATTAAACACATAAAACTCCAAGTGACCAATTGATTGTTTGAGTCCACCTTTTACTTAATTAACTACATCTCCAATTCCTTTAAAATAAAACAAAATTTCCAAATCAAAAAAAAAATTACATTTAATACCAACAACTTTTTTATTCTGAAGATTTAAAATATTAATTATATTACTAAAATATTCAATTATATATTTCTCTCTCTTCTTTCCATTTATATATTGGTTCGTTAAAGATAAATATTTTGAGAAAATAAATTAGAGTTTTTAGAGAATTATCTAAACTTGAAGAAAAATAATAATATTTAATTAAAATAAGAATTATTAACTAATATTAAATGTATAAAATATTAAAAAAAATTAAAATAAATAAAGGGTATTATTAAACAATAATTACAAGTAAATAAATAAAGTGTATTATTGAACAATGATTACAAGTTAAAAAAAAACGTGTAATAGGAATATTATGACGGAGTGTAATTCAAAATAGAGACCCAATACATTAATTTCATTCCAAAAAGGATTTATACAAAGAATGATAACGGTCTAAACCGCCCAATGAATGACTTCAAATGTTCAAGCCACTCATCCATTCTCACCTCTGCTTCACAAGAATCATCATTCCATTTTCCCCCAAACAATACTCTACCCAGATACATACTGTTGGTAGCTTCTTCAATCCCAAACCCTTGACCAGTTTCGTGAAAAGAACATTCTCTCACATATACCAACAATGTTCACATCAAAAGGCCCTCGATCATGGAAAAGAAGCACATGCTCATATGATTGTATCCGGGTTTCTACCTACTGTCTTTGTTACGAATTGTTTGATCCAGATGTATATCAAATGTTCCAACTTGGAGTATGCCCATAAGGTGTTTGATAGAATGCCTCAAAGAGACACGGTTTCTTGGAACGCCATGGTTTTTGGGTATGCTGGGAGTGGGTGCATGAGCATGGCTCAGATGATGTTTAATTTGATGCCTCAAAGAGATGTGGTTTCGTGGAATTCTTTGATTTCAGGGTACTTACAGAATGGTAGTTGTTGGAAATCGATCGAAGTTTTTATGCAGATCCAAAGAGAGGGTGTGGGGTTGGATGCGACCACATTTGCTGTGGTTTTGAAGGCGTGTTTGGGCTTGGAGGATTATGGATTAGGGGTTCAGATTCATGGACTTGTTGTTCGGATGGGGTTTGTTCATGATGTGGTGGCTGGGAGTGCAACTGTAGATATGTATGCGAAATGTAAGAAACTGAAGGAATCTTTAAGCTTTTTTGATGAAATGCCCGTGAAGAATTGGGTTTCTTGGAGTGCTTTGATTGCTGGTTGTGTTCAAAATGATGAGTTCTTGGGTGGTTTGAAACTATTTAAGAATATGCAAAAGAACGGGTTTGGAGTTAGCCAATCGACTTATGCTAGTGTTTTCCGGTCATGTGCAGGCTTATCTGCGTTAAGATTCGGTTCTCAATTACATGCCCATTCCTTAAAGATGAATTTCGGTTCCGATACTATAGTAGGAACTGCAACTTTGGATATGTATGCAAAATGTGGCAGGTTATGTGATGCCAAAACTCTATTTCGCACGTTATCAATCCATAATCGACAATCGTATAACGCCATTATAATAGGCTGTGCTCGTGTTGATCAAGGATTTAAAGCTTTGCAGCTGTTTCATGATCTGATCAACACTGATCTTGGTTTTGATGACATTACTTTATCAGGTGCGTTTAGTGCGTGTGCAGTGATCAAAGCGTATATGTTTGGCGTGCAATTACATGGGTTAACGATTAAGAGTATGTTCTGCTCTAATGTTTGTGTCGAGAATGCGATTCTTGATATGTATGGAAAGTGTGGAGCTTTGTGTGAAGCACGTTGGGTGTTTGACGAGATGGAAATAAGAGATGCGGTTTCTTGGAATGCAATTATTGCCGCTTATGAGCAAAATGGAAACGTAGATGAAACGCTTCATCTGCTTGTTTGGATGCTAAGTTCGGGTATGGAACCTGATGAATTCACTTTCGGTAGTGTCTTGAAAGCTTGTGCTGGTCTACAAGTATTAAATTACGGGATGGAAATTCACGGAAGGATCTTGAAATCAGGGATGGGTTTGGAGCCGTTTGTTGGGAGCACGCTCGTAGATATGTATTGTAAATGTGCGAAAGTTGAAGATGCGGAGAAGCTTCATGAACGAATGAAGGAACAAACAATGGTTTCTTGGAACGCAATCATTTCGGGGTTTTCAAATCAAGAAGAAGGCGAATTAGCCCAAAGATTCTTTTCTCAAATGTTGGAAACGGGAACGAAGCCTGATAACTTCACGTTTGCAACAGTTCTCGACACTTGTGCGAATCTGGCGACCGTCAATCTCGGAAGACAAGTTCATGCCCAAATCATCAAACAAGAAATGCAATCCGACGTGTTCATTTGCAGCACTCTTGTCGACATGTACTCGAAATGTGGCAACATGCAAGATTCAAGATTGATGTTTGAGAAATCCCCAAATCGTGATTTCGTCACATGGAACGCCATGATCTGTGGATACGCTCACCACGGACTCGGAAACGATGCTATAACTCTTTTCGAATCCATGAAACTCAACAACGTGAAGCCAAACCACGCCACTTTCGTGTCGGTCCTTCGAGCATGCGCACACGTGGGGCTTGTCGAAAAAGGTTTGCAATACTTTAACACAATGCTTAGTGACTATGGATTAAAACCTCAATTAGAACACTATGCATGCATGGTTGATATCTTAGGCCGTTCGGGTCAAGTCAACAAGGCCTTAAAGCTTATAAACGAAATGCCCGTTGAAGCTGATGATGTTATTTGGAGATCACTTCTCGGGATTTGCAAGTTACAAAGGAATGTGGACGTGGCCGAAGAGGCCGCAAGTTCGCTTCTTCGGCTGGATCCACAAGACTCTAGTGCATATGTACTTTTAGCCAATATTTATGCTGATGTTGGTATGTGGGAAGAGATGTCAAAGATTAGAAAGAAAATGAGAAATATTGGGTTGAAGAAAGAACCAGGTTGTAGTTGGATTGAAGTGAAGTCTGAGTTGCACATGTTTACTATTGGGGATAAAGCTCATCCTAGATGCAAAGACATCTATGAGAAGTTGGATGAGTTAACAAGGGAGATGGCATTCAATGATGAGGAGGTACAAGAAGAACAACAAGATTTACGGTTTGTCTTCACGGAAACAACTGCTCTACTTTTTGGGATAGAGGACATGTCTGTATATTGATTTTTGCATTCAATAATGAGGAGGTATAAGAAGACAGTCTGTCTTCATGGAAACAAATTCTCTACTTTTTAGGATAGATGACATGTCACCATACTGATTTTTGCATTTAATGATGATGAGGTATCATAGTTGCAAGAAGTGCAGTTTGTCTTCACACAAACAATTGTTCTACTCTTTGGGATAGAGGACGTGTTTGAGTATTTATTTTTGCATTTAATGATGAGGAGGTATTAGAAGAACTGCAAGAAGTGCGGTTTGTCTTCACGGAAATAGTTGTTCTACTCTTTGGGATAGAGAGAGTATTTGTGTACTAATTTTTGCATCTAATAGTGAGGTGGTATTAGAAGGACTGCAAAAGTGCAATTTGTCTTCAAGGAAACATGGAAACAACTGCCTACTTTTTGGGATAGATGATATGGCTGCAAATTGATTTTTGCTTTAATGATGAGGTGGTATTAGAAGAACTACAAGAAGTGCAGTTTGTCTTCACGAAAACAGTTGTTCTATTCTTTGGGATAAAGGACATGTTTGTGTACTGATATTTGCATTTAATGATGAGGAGATATTAGAAGATCTGCAAGAAGTGCAGTATTACTTCATGGAAACAGTTGTTCTACTCTTGGGATAGAGAACAAGTTTGCATACTGATGTTTGCATTTAATGATGTGGAGGTATCAAGTTATGTGGTTGATACTGATTTTATATACAAGTTCAACTCCTAAGTATGAATTTCTTTGACCGAATAAAATAGTTGATTGGATGCAATTTTTCGTTTACTCGGGTAGAGGTTGGGCTTGCTTACATTTTGGGTATGTTTGTTTGCATCTTAATGAGCTTAATAGGACTCACAACTTATTCGGTCAGCTATATATGGTTGTTTGGTAGTGACTTAATGATATAAAAAATGGTTTATTCATTAAGCTTTTAGTGGGGAGCTTTATACAAAAAGTTAAGTTTTTTTTCCTTAATATGTCAATTCCAATCAAAAAACACGCTCCTTCAATCTATGGAAAACCTCTCCCAAACAAAAACCTTTCCAATCTATACATACATGCATTATGTATCTAGATGTGTGCATGCATAATTGAAATTGAAGTTTTTAATTGAATGTAGATGGAAGGAGGAACCAGGCTGTTGTAACTTCTATTGAGTTATGTTGAGCGCATGCCGTTCATTGAATTATGTTAAGTTGATTAAGTTATCGCTTCATCCCATAAAACCGTGAGAATCAGGTGATCAGGTTGACGGTTTTTCTTAAAAACAACGTGCTCAGTGATTGTCTGTATTATATCATTATTGCATGGAGATATACTGATCAGCAATTTTTTTCCGAACAGAGAGGAAATTGCGGTGCAGATAACTTTGCAGATCAATCTCCGCCCATAAAAAATGGTTCTGTTGATGAGGGTAATATTGTTTTTGCCCCAGCACTGCTGACAAATGTACAGAACTTGGTAGAATCTGACTTGAATGGCTTGCTGGCTTCAAAGCAACAGATCATGGCGCTGCTCGAGCAGTTTCCATGGATGTACCATTGCAGCAAAGTACATTTGAGGCCGAGCCTACCCACACTTCTCAGGGATCTTTTCCTGACGTTGAGCTCTTGGCTTCCCAATCACGAACACAACCTTGGAATGCCAGGCCTGTTTCGAGTGAGGGTGCTATTCATTGCGGCACTCCAAGTGAGATGGAAGAATTGAAGATGCAAAGGGATTAAGCTAGATGAGGTGAGCATCTGCTTTAATTTCTTAGATTCATCATATTTTGAGTTCGGATATAGGATATGTTAAGAGTTCCATATCGGTACACTTGGACCTATTTTTCCCACTATGTGTTGGAACCTCCATCCTCTCCTCAAGCGTTTAGCCCCCACTCAACACTTTGAGACAATAGTCTTTGTTACTTTGACCTATTTCCCCCAATATATCTTGGAATCTCCATTCTCTTCTCAAGGGTTCCACATATTCGCACAGGATAATACTTGTTAGCCATCACGACAATTGTTTCTTATGTCAGCCACGTAGGTGGCCGCTATGTGATTGCTTTTGTTGGACATTAAATTACTTTGTTTCATTAAATTACTCCCGTTATCCTAAAATAAGTGTCTATAATAACAAAAATGTACACCGTTTCAGAAATATAATCATTACAGTTTTTGTTAACTGAATGGCAATTTTTCTTTTACACACGGTTTTATAAATGTATAATTATTCCACTGAAAAATTTCTCCATCTCATCAACCCTTAAATGTTTGTGCATCAAAATGAAGGGTAGAATTGGAAATAAGCAGGTCCCTCGAAAATAAACTTTAGTTTCATAACTTAACTTGTCATTTCGTCCTTGCTCATTCCTGTTTGGATTTGAACCAGCGTAGACATATTGTATTTAAATATTTGTTATATTGATATTTGGAGTCAATATTTACCTCTACTTTATGTTAGATATTATATTAGTACTACTAGGGGTGTGCATCGGGCGGGTTCGGGTGGAAAAATCAAAAACCCGATCGGATTTCATATATGGAAATCAAGCCCTGATTTTTGGATTTTGGATTTCGGATTGCTTCGAGTTCGGGTTTAATTATAGGCCAAATCATAATAAAATTGACTACTTGAGACTTTAATTACAATAATTAAAACTTTTGGACTAAACTTGCACATAATAAATACTTTTGGGGTAAATTTTTAATTTAGTCGAACTTGTATCGAGACCTTTCATATGTAACAGTTAATATTGTTTTTCAGGGCACCGTCGTCAACCGCCGGTCAGGAGAAAATCGACATTGTTGATTGATGTTTTCGTAGATCTTGAAGATCTCATGTTTTTCCCCTTGCTGATTGCATCCATTCAAATCGATTGGTTTCTAGAATTCCAGGTAAAATCTCGATGTGTGTTTTTGGTACTTAATTTGATTACGGATTTTCATGAGCATTTGTGTTCGAGATGATGCTAGGGCAATTCAGAAATTGAGCATTTGGGAAAATGCTAATTTTAATCGTAATTGTTTTGAATTCAGCCTAAGAAGATTGTGTTCTAAGAAATCGAAATCTGATTACCGAATGACGATTGAAATCAGAAACCCTAGCAACGAGAATAGATCGAGAAATAGGAAGCAAGTAATTGTTGATGATAAAGTACCATTGTTGCCCACTAAGAAAGAGGAAGATGGTGGTCTTGAAGAATTTGATGGAGCTTCATTTACTGGTGCAGTATTTAATTTATCAACTACAATTGTGGGTGCTGGGATAATGGCCTTACCTGCAACCATGAAAGTTTTGGGTCTTATACCTGGAATTGCTTTGATTATTATTATGGCATTTCTAACAGAATCGTCAATTGATCTTCTGATTCGATTCAGTAGGGCTAGGAAATCAGTTTCTTATGGAGGTCTCATGGAGGATGAATTTGGTAAAGTTGGTAGAATCTTGCTGCAAGTTTGTGTGCTAGTTAACAACATTGGCGTTCTTGTTGTCTACATGATTATCATAGGTATAACTCATTAAGTTCGGGTGCGTATGTTACACAGGACAAACTTGTTTGGTGGACTGATAGAGATTTACCGAAATAAGTGGAACGAATACCGGATGGATGAGACAAGATTGGTAAATTACTAAATTACCCATATCAAATCAAAAAGTGTTTCACAAATCTTTCACCTGTGTAACTCATTCTTGCCTGTCCGGTCCAGTTAGCCTACAGAATGCACGGATGAAATAATTGTGCAAGGTTTTAGAGTTTTAATTGGATGGTAATTTAGTAATTTACTAATCTTGTCCTATCCTCATGATTTTTGTTCCACTTGTTTTGGTGTTTTTGTCCCACCTAGGGCATGTTTATTAGCAGCTTAATGGGACTCGCAACTTATTCGTCAGCCATACATGAATGTTTGGTAGTGACTTAATGATATAGAAAGTGGCTTATCCAGTAAGTTTTTAGGGGAGAGCTTTATGCAGAAAGCCAGGTTTTTTCCAAAATCTGTCCCTCCTTATTTAGAAACACATTTTTTCCATCTAAGAAAAAGTACTCCCAAACAAAAACCTTCTCAATTTATGCAGACAGATTAATCCAGACATACAACGTTTTACCCATACAGGACTTAATAGAAAACCAACCAAAAAGACCCTTAGTCCTGTCATGTCCTAGTCTAATATCCCTGGGTGAAAGAATTATGCAAGGTTGTAGGTAGGGCCGTCCCTGGGGGAGGGCGGCACGGGCGCACGCCCAGGGCCCAAAAATATCAGGGGCCCAAATTTTCCCCTTAAAATATATAGTAGTCTAAAAGAATTTAAAAATTCTTACTTTTTATAAAAAATTATCAACCATAGTTTATATACTCTTGGTTTAAAATTACCTAATAAGAAGCACGTAAATTTAAGTACACTTTTATATATCTATAATAAAGATAAATAAGATTTTATTACTCAGTAAATTATTAGCATTTCTTGTACTCAATTTTATACTAATGAAAAACATCTATTGAATTTTTTTTTTTGTATTTACCGAAGGTCACTACAAGAAAAGTGAGCTTTGACGATGGACCTTTTAGCGATGACATGTGTCGCAAGTTATAGCGACAACATGTTTTTGTTATATATTATTTTCAATGATAAACGGACTTTTAGCGACAACAAAAGTCGTTGCTAAAAGCCTTGTTTCTTGCAGTAGGGCCCCTGTTTTTATGTTCGTCCAGGGCCTAAAAAATGTCAGGAACGGGCCTGGTTGTAGGGTTTTAAATTTTACATGACTAGTTTAGTAATTTACCAACATTGTCCATCTTCATGATATTTGTGTCGCCTACTTTGGTGGGACAAAAAAATGATATTCTACTCAGTCCTATCCTGTTAGAGGCTAATGTCGCACCAAATATGGTACAACATGTTTTTGTCTTGTTAGTCCTGTCTGTCCAGCCCCATGTACCAAATGCACCTTTGGAGGGATAATTTCAAGATTACTAGTTTACCCTTAATTTGATATGCTTTGTTTCGAATAACACTTAGGGGACGTGCTTTCTGGAATAAATTCAAACGGAATTCACCATGCTGGTGTCTTGCAAGAATGGTTTGGCGAACACTGGTGGAATGGTCGTTTTTTCATTCTTCTTGTAACCACCCTTTTTGTATTTGCTCCTTTGGCAGGTCTTAAGCGCATAGGTTGGTCTTAATCTTTTGTTGCAATGTCAGTTTTCGCTTATCTTTATTGCAAAGATCTTTTATACGATCTTTTCTTGAATACTTGCAGATTCACTGAGATATACGTCTGCGCTATCGATGGCACTAGCCGTTGTCTTTCTTGTTATCATTGCAGGAATCACGATCTTCAAGTTGATGATCGGAAGCATTATGATGCCTAGGCTTTTTCCTCAAGTTGTCGATTTTGCATCTGTCTTTAATCTCTTCACCGTTGTTCCCATTCTTGTCACGGCTTACATTTGCCACTACAACGGTATGCAAGCTAACTTCTAAACAATAAACATTATTGATGATAATGATGACTATAAGAATATGTAGAACCCTAGATTATTCTCTAAAAGAGCCCTCTAGGAGAGAATGGAGGTTCCAACATATATAGAGAAGAAATGGCCAAGTCCAGAAATGTTGGACCCCAACATCGCAACATGCCCCTTCCAACGGAGGCTAAGAAGACAAATTGTCTCAGAGGGTCAAGTCCCTAGAGTGGTAGACATTGACTCTGATGCCATATGAGAGTATGTGGAACTCCATTAGATTACTCTTCAAAAGAGCACTCTGGACTCAATCCACCCCCTTCAAAGGAGGTTAGACAGACACTGATTGTCTCAGAGTGTCGAGTCCCTATAATGGTAGATATTGGCTCTGATACCTTGTGAGCGTATGTGGATCCCCATTAAATTACTCCATTTAGGAGAGAATGGAGGTTCCAATATATACCGAGGAGAAATGATCCAAGTCTGGGTGATGTAGGACTCCAACAATGCCTAATCTTGAGTTAACTTTTGAAATTGACAGTTCACTCGATAGACAATGAGCTTGAAGATCATACGCAGATAAAAGCAGTCGTACGCGCTTCACTTATTCTTTGTTCAACCGTATATATAATGACTAGCCTCTTCGGGTTCCTCTTATTTGGCGATGGAACCCTTGATGATGTGCTAACCAATTTTGACACCGATCTTGGAGTCCCATATAGCTTGTTGCTTAATGATATTGTTCGTGTTAGTTATGCTGCCCACCTTATACTGGTTTTTCCGATTGTTTTCTTTCCGTTAAGACTGAATATGGATGGGCTACTTTTTCCGAATAAGAGGCCTCTAATTTTGGATAACATGAGGTTTGCATCGGTCACTATTGGACTCATGGTTCTCGTGTTTTTGGGTGCGAATTTTATACCGAGCATTTGGGTCGCTTTTGAGTTCACCGGAGCGACTGCGGCTGTTTGTATCGGCTTCATCTTTCCTTCTGCCATCACTCTTCGGTAAGTTGCCTTCATTTAGTCAAAAGTCGAACCATATTACTAGGGCCAATCAACCAATCTCTAGGTTTCTTCAATCTTGATCTAGTCGGTTTACACTTTAAGGTAGAGGTCAGATCTGTATACAACCCAACTCTCCCAAAACCCACATGAGGGTGGGATTGTTTTGGAAAAAGGACAGTACCTCAGCCAAATTTATTAAGAAATAATCTCGACATTTTTTACAGTAACGACTAGAGATGCACTAAAAAGACCTAGAACTGAAGCCCGACAAAAGAAATCTTGTCCGAGTAAGCCCTGTCCCAACTCCCAAGCCATGCCTAAAAGCCCGATTAAGCTTAGATTTTATGTCTTTTTGTGATGGCAATTGGAATGATATTAACTCCAAGACCTGGTTAAAGCCCGAAAATTTGTTGAAAGCCCGGTCCAAGGCCTGAAAAATCCAGGTGAAGCCCAATCAAACGAACCGTTGTGCACAAATTCGAGACCAAAAAACCATATATTAGGCGTTGTGCATCTCTACTCTAGTAGCGACTGATATCTGATAAATCTAAATTGTTTTGGTATACATTAGGGATTGTTACGGCATTGCAAGTAAGAAGGACAAGATCTTGTGCGTTTTCATGATTGCTCTTGCTGCTTTTTCAAACCTTATGGCCGTCTACAGTAATGCGTCGGCTTTGCTCAGTAATAACGGCTCACCACCCGAATGATAACGATCGACTAAAACCTTATCACATATTACTTTTTGAAGATTTCAGGTGTAAATTTGTATACATCTCGGCTCAAATCAAATATTACTAAATCTGATTCTATTTTATTACTATTTTGACCACTTTATTTGAATCGGATATTCGATATTTCGCCTCGTTGAATAAAATGTTGTCGTCTTAAAATTCACCGTTTCTGTCTTAGTCATCAATTACGTAAAGTCACATCATTCGTTTATTGAACCTAAAAAACCAAAACATCAATTAAATAAATTTATGTTATGTTTTTTCTACAAAAACACTTATCAACTTATTATAAACCAGAAGAGTTTAACTTTTTCAAAAACTCCTTATTACCGGTTTGGCACCGGTATAAGTTGTTTATTCAAACACTCAAAAATGTTTATTACCGGTGCCACATCGAAATAAATCAATAAGTTATTTTTGTAAGCAATCTCAAACACATCCTAAATAAAACAATGATATGTCTTCATTTTTTTATTAAAAAAAACAACCTTTTTTATATTACCAAACTACATGTTAAATTCAATATAATAATAATATTGTTAGACCCTTATGAATTATAAACAGGTTTATTCAACAATTATCTGGATGGATTAAAAATCGGGGAAACTGTGACTTAAAAATTGTTTTCCTACCTATTTGATTTGAGGCAAGCAAACCATGATATGTAACATTTTTTTGGGTTGAAATGATGTAAGTAACCAATTTTTAAAAGTATTATGATTTATTTATTAAAAAACATATATAAGGGTGAATTTTTTTTTTTTGTAAATAACTATGACTTTGTAAGTTGCACGATATTAATTATTTTATTTTATTTACAATCTTTTAATTACATATTTTAAAAATATTAGAATAACCCAAGAAATTTGAAATACTATTTTTTGTAAAAGCGATTACATTTTTCAAGTTATTTTATAAATATCTCATTCATTTCAAATCATTATACTTTTTGCGTCGTTTCATATCTAATATTGCAATTACCCAAAATAGTTCAAAATTTCACCAAAAGTTGTATGGTTTACATAAATTAGGGATCGTTTACCAAACACTTACCCGGTAAGTGCTTACTGGTAAAATTTAACATTATTATTTACTTACCGTATATTTTAGTCCATCAAAACGACATATATGCAACAACTTATCCGGTAAGCGCTTACCGTGCTAAGAGTCATCGCCCTCACTTACCGGGTAAGACTCTTGGTCATTGTCTCACTTTTACCGGATAAGATTCTTGGTCTTTACCATATTCATCCGGTGAGGTAATGTTACTTGGTAAGCGCTTACCCGGTTAAGCGTTTGGTAAACGGCCCATTAATGATTAAAGTCTTTAAAACTAACACATTATAATTAACGGTGTAATTAAGAGAGACTATATCCTTGATAAAAATAAAACTAATGCATTGTAAATATCTTTTAATTATCATATAAATATTTACTCATGAAAATAACTTTTAAATTATACAATTTTAAAAATATCAAAATAACTAAAATACAATTATAATACTAATGCTTATGCATATAATAATAATAATAATAATAATAAGTATGAATATATCATTAATATATAATAATTAGAGCAGTGTATGCATTCAATGTCTAATAACTAGAGTTTTTTTTGGTTTGAAACTAACTGAAGGTAAACATAATCAAATACATGATAAACATCTAATTTAAAAAAAATAAAAAAATCTAAAATATAATTAGAATAGTCATTGAATTATAACATAACATTTAATTATTATATTAATAAAATGATATTATTAAACTAAAAATAAATTACTTTATTATTAAATTTAAATTAAATTATAATAAAAAAAATTGAATTAAAGGAATTACACAAAAATATGAACTTTTAGATAGTTAATTTGATACTAATATCGATATATTTTTTCAAATTTTTATCAGATATTCGAATTTATATTTTATTCAAGCTTTATCAAAATCACATAAACTGTATCATAATATTAACAGAAAACAAGAAATAAAAACAGAATACTAAAATTTAAAATATATATTACATAAATACCTTTTTAATATTTTATAATTTATTTTTATTTTTAAAAATTAAAATTAAACCATAAAAATAAAAAATAAAAAAGAATTATAAACTACAACCAAAATCACGAGGACGTGGAGACTAAAAACGGTGGGTATACGTACAACTGTTAATGCAGAGGTGTCTACAACTATCTATTTAAAGCGACGGTCATCGCCACCGCCTCCCGCCGCCTGAAACCCCAAAATGACGACCGACATGGGTCCTCCACCTCCCCGTAACCCTACAACCACCACTACCTCCGATCAAACTCAATTGACGGAAACTCCTACCAAAACAGTAGACGATATGAAGAAGACTCCTATGGGGCCTCCACCTCCTATCCCCTTGAATATCGAATCAGAGAAATCCGTACAACCTAAAGAACCACAGCTCCCTGAGGACTCTGCTGTCGCTACGGCTGATAATTCCACGACGGTTGAAGAGGCTGGTTTATCGGAGAGTAAGAAAGAAGAGCAGAAACCTTCGAGCAATGTTGGTAGTGGTGGATTAGCAGTTCCTTATACGATTCCGTCATGGAGTGAACCTCCGTGCCATAATTATTTTCTTGAAGTGCTCAAAGATGGCTCTATCATAGATCAATTTGATGTGTAAGTACTCTAAAATAGTAGCATAGCTCTCGCATTCATCAATCTGGTGTGTAGCTGTTCACTGTTCACAACTCTTTAAATTAACAAACTGTGGCTGTGTTCTCGTGTCATAATATGATTAACCATTGTAGTTGGCATGATAGTTATTTTGAGAAACTATAATTTTTACTAGAGAATTTCAATAGTTCTTGTTACATTCCATTTTTTATGGCTTAATTCTCTAGATCATGTTTGCATTCTGATAGTGGCATACCATTATGGATTGGAATTATACAATTCATGTTTAATGCTTCAACATATGCGCCAGAGGATGCAGACTGAGAGAGATTCTTGGGGCTGTGGTTTGGTTTGGAAGTGAATAAAAGGAATTTGATTAAAGTTATTCTTTGGGAATTTTGAGGTGATCTTTCTGGAAAAAGACTGGTTGACTAAAGTAGTCTCCTTCGTACGAATGTGTTATAGTTGCATTAAAACGTTTGCTCTGTCTATAGTTTTGATTTTTGTTGAGTTGTATTTGTATCATACAGGCATGAGAAGGGAGCTTACATGTTTGGGCGAGTAGATCTTTGTGATTTTGTCCTTGAGCATCCAACCATTTCTCGGTTTCATGCTGGTAAGCATAGCCATTTTTTCTGTCGTGCTCTGGAAATATAGCAAGCATTTGCTCATCATGGGTATGTACACAAATAAACGTAGGGGACCAACAAAGATAACAAAGTAAAGTCACTGATTCAGTTTCTAGATGATGACAAAGATATCGTAAATGAGGGTGGCAACTCTATAATGATGAAAGTGGATGTATAGATATCTAAACAACATTGATATAAATCATGGTTTGATGTACGAACAATGAGCATCTGTCTGCTAAATTTGACCTCCATGGAAATGCATATTATTTATCTTGGGGGGGGTAAAATTTTCTGCTGCATGTTTAGTGGTTCATCCAACTTACAGTTATTTGCATGCATAATGCTACTCACTTACATGTAAAACCATCAAAATATAGGATGTAGGTTTGCTTTATGAGTATGAAGAAATAAAATATGTATGGCATAAAGTTATTCATATTGGAATATATAATTTTGTCATAAATGTTGTTTTCATTCCTTTTTGTGCTTTTTCAATCCTTTATTAAGAAATTATTATGAGCTTAGTAATGTTTTTGACATCAGGATTTCAACTTAATGACATATTTTCTCTATGCTAGTTCTCCAGTTCAACAAATCTGGTGGTGCTTTTCTCTATGATCTGAGTAGTACACATGGGACATTCATAAATAAGAACCAGGTATTTTTTATTTCAAATTTGTATGTCAATGCTACTAGGTATTGCATGATGGGCATTCAAACATTCATTGTAAGCTCACATGCGGGGATATGTCTTCCCCAAATTATACTACTAGGACTACTATCTTCGGCAGTGTGTTGTTTGTCTTCATGCTTAGGCTACAAATTTAATTGCACTGGTTAGTGGGTTGTTCACTTGGACTGTGGAGTATAGGCGTGTCATAATGTGCGTACATGGAGCACATTTAATATGCCTTTTGTCAATTCTTTTGGATTGACTTGGGGAACATTTTCTGATGGAAATGCATTTTGTTGGAGGCACAGAAGGTTAAGCCATGTTTGAATTTGGAGAATTCTGCAGTCTGGTAAATTATACATTCTTACAGATCATGGCCCATATTCAGTAGTATCAGCTTTGCGTGTTTAAAATGTGTGATTTTGCTATTAATGCCGAAGAAGTAACGTTCCAGATTTGAAACTTTTTCTTACGTTATGTGATTGATCTTCAGGTCTTGGAGTGATTATCACCATAACCCCATCTTTTAAAAATTCACTAAGCAAATCATTAGTTTTCAAGTAAAGATATCATGATCAGTTACCATCAGTGAATTAAAAAAGGTGAGGTTACGCCGATTAAAAGGAATAGGGGTTCAGTTGTAATGTTGGGTCACTGATGGTACCTTTGTTCAAGCAGACATGCTAGTATAGTTGCATCTGTTACGACCTTTTTCATGGGTAAAACTCCATCTTTTTGCCTATTTGATTTTATCAAGAAATACTAGCAAAGTCATCTCTTACAATAGTTGAAACATTTGTGGCTCAGTTGTACATCTGTTTGCTGTAGGCGGTTATGTGAAATATCACTTCTTTATTGGTTGTCTCTTTTCAACATTTAGGTGAAGAAAAAGGTGTATGTGGAGCTGCACGTTGGTGATGTCCTTCGATTTGGCCAGTAAGATATCACGTTTGTTTTTATTTATTTATTGTGTCACTGTGTGTCAAGTTAGTCATTAGGTTACTCTTGCATGGCTTTGTATCATGGTTCTTAAAACAAGTTGTTGCTGTGCACATGCATTTATGTTTGACACGGGGTTAGACTCTTGCCATTCAAGGAACATCTTATGTTTGTTTGATTGCTGATTTGTCTAAGCTAATTCTATTGTGTTCACAGCTACCCATGTGGATTTTAATATGCTTTAAATATGCACTTGTCTTTAAAGTTCCTGTGATCTGGCTTCCCTTCTCTTCCTAGGCCTCGTCATGGCCCAGGAGTGAGGGTTGGGTATTAGTTATTTTTGTCACATGTTGTTCAAAACATTATCAATACAAATGACTTTAGTTTAAGATAGAACTAAGCTTATATATGAAAACTTGCAATCTACCACTCTTCTATTCTGGCTTTCGTGTTACGGGATAACTGGAATATATTTTGGTGTATTTGATGTCTATTTGACAACCCTGATTGTTCTGTTATTTGGATTTGACAATACAGTAATTTGATTGGGTTTTCAGAGCTGTTATTGTGCTCATATCCTAGACCTTTGCTATGGTATGGATTTTGAGTTCACAATTTTGTTTGGTTGACACAAACATTTCCATCTTTCCAGCTGCGTGCAACCAAATTGGGAATATGTTGTCTTTTATCACTTGTCTTTGAAGTATACTTACTAGCAATTTTTAGTTATTATCTTGTCTTCTAGATCTTTCTTATTTCCTTTGGGCGCTTCTTTCAATATTGTCTTCTTTTATATCTTTGATTTATCCCTAATGCTCATACATGTTCTTGCTTTTGCTTTTTTTTTTTGGGTACAGTTCATCTCGGTTGTACATATTTCAGGGACCACCTGACTTGATGCCTGCAGTAAGTTGCTTTAACTATTTACCCTATTCTTTCTTCACCAATGTTCAAAAAACCATTTTAGGCGGAGCTAGGCAGTTGAGTGACCGTCTAGCCTTAATTACCTAAGTGGGGATTAAGCAAAAGCATAAACAATTCATTTAGATATAGTTTTTTTTTGTAAGAACTAAATTTTTTGATGCAATACGATTTTGATACATAACTTATCTGAATGTCCATTTTCATTGGAATATTGTTTCAGTTACTTAAAAAAGATTGTAAAGATTGTCTTCAAGTACGCTTAATGCAACAATTAGTCGCTAACCGAAGTAGTGAGAGACACTTAACTCCTAGGCGACCAATTAAGTGGCTCTAACTAATTGGAGCAGTGGAGGCTGCTTAAATACTAGGCAGCCACTTAAGTGGTTGTAGCAGGGATTTCAGAACACAGCTCTCCACTCCCTCTCCTGATTGCTTCATTCACTAATAGTGTGTGTATGCGTAAGTTATCCAAACATTTTGATCATGTTACATTCTTATTGGAGTGAGAATAAAGCAATGTAGTCTTTAGTTTGTAATATGATGAACCAAGAAGTTTGTAACACCCTGAAGTGTGTGTTCAGTCTGCTGCTTCAGCCTGATCTCTACCTATATTTTCTCGATTTTCTATATATCTCATCCACTAGAAGCATTTTTTTCTCACTTGATTCATTGAATGCTTAGAGAAGTTAATCAAGGTTTTTTTTTTGTTGTACAAGGAAAAGGACTTGAAGAGTATTAGAAATCTTAAGATGCGAGATGAGAGCCGTGACATGGAAGCTTCGCTTCTACGAGCAAAAAGGGAAGCGGCACTTGCAGATGGTATCTCATGGGGCATGGATGAGGATGCTGTTGAAGAAAATGAGGTTTAAAAATTTTTACATCGCCTTTAGGATTGCTACTTGTTGCATTGGATAGTTCTGGGTTCTTGTTATGTAGAACTATCTAGCGGAAGTTTTGTGTTTATTCTTCGCTGGAGTTGGTTTTTATATCATTTTTAGAGTTCAAAATCAACGTATGATGGAGCACCATATCAATTTCAAGGTTAAAACTTTAGCATCTTTGGGTGCAATTTTTGTTTAAGCATATAAAGAACTGTGGATTCTTCTTCTGGACATTAAACACATGCTAGTAGTCTGAGAGGGGAGGATAAGTTCATGTAGGTGAAATAGGAAACTTAAAGATATTTGGGAACGATGATAAATACAAATATATATAGAAAAGCTCCCTAGTTCTGACAAATGCTATGCTTATTCTCTTTTGCTCTGATCCATACAGCTTTGAGATGACTTAGTAGTTGCTATGAAATTGGGTTGAGTAAAAGTTGTTATATGAATTTTTATCTGTATGGCCTTTATATTGGAAACTGAGTAACTAAACTGAACTATATGTTAGGATGACCTTGAAGAAATAACTTGGCAAACTTTCAAAGGACAGCTTACAGAGAAGCAGGAGAAAACCCGAGAAAAAGTTTTGAAGAGGCTTGAAAAGGCAAGTACTTAATCCATGTTTTCTTTTCCCTTCCGCCTGTCTGTTTTAATCTGGTCTTTCCTTTTTCTTCTCCCTCCCCCCTTTTCATTTTCTTTATTGCATGTATATTGACACATATCAAAATCAGCATAGTAAACCTCTGCCTTTAATGCCAAACTTTAATAGATACATTCAGCCTTGAAGCTTTTTAAGGGAACATAAGGTGGTAAGGCCTTGACTGTAAAGAAAATTAGACAAGTAAGGTTTATTGCAACTAAATTAAAGTCTGGTGTCAGGAATTTATATAATAACTGCAGATATATATACTCGAGAAGTAAATAGTTGGCTGATGTCCAACCAAAAGATACTTCTGTCAATCATGAGCAGCGTCTTTCCCATAATCGATCTTTAGGACCTCCAAATGATTCAAGGAAAATTCTTTCTGCTCATATGGCTAATAAAGAAGTTTTCAATCAATACTGTACACAAACAGCCAGCAAAACCAAGTAAACATATTCTAAAATAACTTGACACACTATTTAAAGGATCATACACTGACTGAAGGGAGATTCGCTAGTTAATGGAATTTGTATTTTTATCAACTACAGGAACAGAACTTAGTCCTCTGAATCATGAATCTTCGATTTTTTTACATCTGTGGTCTCAAATAGTCAAATAGATATTGCATGCACTAATTTTCTTTTCTAGTTTCAAGATCAATGCAATACTTCGCAAAGAGGCTTGTGCTGGAGAGTGCTTAGATGTCTAAAACCTTTATAGCTAAATTCTAATTGTTTTGTCCTTGTAAACTTTCGGAAGCACGAGCCAGCTTGGTGAAGATTTGAGGCTGTGTGACTTAGAGAGCTCGAGTATGGGAGAGATCACAAACTGATCTCTCTTTCTGTCTGCTAGATGAGCTGGGAATTTGCTTCCGTAAGTCTGGCTAGAACTTTCATGCATTGTTCTTGTAGCTTATACTTCTCTCCCCCTTCTAATCCACCTTAAGAGCCATTATAGTTTAGAACCAAAACAAGTTACAAAGCCTTCTGGTTTGCCATGTTGGAATGAACTCATTATTATTGACTGGTCATAATACATAACTCATCTGGATTTCCAGCAAACACTATTGTAAGATCCTACATTGGCTGGGGAGGGGAAGAAAAGTTGCCTTATAAGGGACTAGATACCTCCTCTATAAGATGTGTTTTAAAATTGTAAGTCCAGGTTTGGACAAAGCGGACAATATCTGGTACGGTTGCCTTGGAGGATACAACTCTATCCTCATAGTTTGACTCAGCTAGTTAATCGCTCTTGGCAGGTCCATAATAGACAATCTCATTTCCATTATTGTGATAAACTACTCTTTTGAAATGAAATTGATCTTCCAACATTTTAGGTAATCAAACAATCAGTTGATAAACCTTTTATTTTGGAGAATTTGACTTCTTAATTAAATATTGTATATAAGTTATAACCAAAGTTATTCGAAGCATGGCCTCAGGTCGAAAAGTTCCACCTGACCATAAGATGGTGAAGCCAGCAAAAGAGTGAATACTCTAAGTTACAAGTGGTATCAGCAAAACCGTGAAGGACAGGGCACCGTTTTGCCTAGTTCTACTGCTAAGTTACATTCTATTCTGTTTATGTTTCTATGTGAACATCTTGCACAATAGCTTAATCTTTGATCATTACCTTGCTTTTACTAAACTGCATCAATGGCCTCCAGATCGCTAATATGAAGAAGGAAATAGATGCTATTCGTGCGAAGGACATTTCCCAAGGTGGTTTAACACAAGGACAACAGACTCAGATAGCTCGTAATGAACAGAGAATGGCCCAGGTATAAAACTATCCTATCATTCTTGTTCTTTATTTTCTCTTTTGAATATTTCTACAATTTTATTCTCATGGATCCTTGGAGTTGTTGTGGGACGGACAACTAGTTTGTACCTAGTTTGTCTTTTGGTTTCCCAACCTTTTTTTTATGATTTGGCTTTGTTATTTCTTTGGTATTTACTGAATGGTTTTTGATGAATTTGATTAGGTTGCAGAAGAGCTCGAAAACCTGGAGGAAACCTTAAATGAAAGTATACGTGAAAGTATGGGTGCACGTATTGGTAGGGTGCATGGTAAGAAGAAAGGAGCAACTGAGGATGATGAAGATGCATATATGAGGTATTTCACTTAAAATTTTAAAAATATAGTTCCTTGGATAGGGTGTGTTTGGTGCAAAGGACATAACAAAACAGGGATCACTGTTCCATATTTGACAGGACTTTTATGTGGAACTAACTGGAACAAAGTGGAAAAACAGGTGTGTTTCACCCCTCCCCAGGAATAAGGTGGAACAGACCTATATTTTACCAATATAACCTCAAAATAAAACATAATTCTCTTCTAAAACATCAAATATGCCTCCCTTTACATTTATTCATTATTTAAATTTTATTTATTGTATTTTATGCTCTTTAAACTTTTAGTTTACTAAATATTACTTTGTACGGTTTCTATATTTTGGTTAATTTATGTAGTTTATTAAATATTAATAAGAATAATACATATAGAAAAGGTATAAAATAAAAATTGGAAACTACATAAACTTTCTATTTTGGTGTCATTTTAATCATCTTGACGGAAACTTCATAATGATATATTTTGTTCTAAATTTTTTTTTATTATAATTTAATAATTACATAAATTAATCAACATATATAAAAGATATAAACAAGTCATTAGTGGTAAATTGGTCATTTTACCTATTCTGATTTTATCTGTCCTGTCTAGTTGTGTCTTACTGAATGCCGAAGAGTTGTTCAGTTCTGCCTGTCTGGATACCAAACGCACCCTGGATATCTGAGAACGTCAATGACACAGCAAAACTCATTTTTAACCATGTGTATGTTTGTTCTGCTACGCTTATGTTGAATCTGCTCTCTCTCAATAACAAACCATTACATTTTGATTACTCATTGGCTTGAATGTGGCAAACCGTGAGCATGCAGTGTTTGCGATGATTTGAATATTTCTTTCCCACCACTTGTTACACTAATATTTAACTGACCAGTTATTCTTTTAAACAATACAATACGCCAGTGATGAAGATGAGTTCTATGATCGAACAAGGAAGAAACCGTCTAAACAGAAGGGTGCAGAGAGCCAGTCAATTGAAACAGCAGATTCTCTTCTGGACAAGAAAGATGCCATCAATAGAGAAATTGAAGAAAAGAAGAAGTTGCTTGTCGATGAGAAGAACAGAGTGATTGCTGACAGCGAGGATGTGGGTGAAGCTGGAGACGTATTGGATGCATTCATGTCTGGACTATCGTCTCAACTAGGTTTGTACTCTATACCTGCATTAGTTTTCTAGAGGAATCATCGTCTTCACTTTTATACTGTTCCAATTGCAAAGTAGACACCCTCGACCCTCGTTTAGCAAGAATTGCAAACTCGTTTTTAGACTTGACTGTAGCAACATGTCCACAATACCCTCTATGGAAGCAAATATTGTTCCCCAAACTGAATGCCTAAAATCATAACGGTTATGATGGGGGCACATTAGTAATTTGACCCAAAAAATATCTTCCCTTGAAAATAGGTTTTATATATTTAAGACATCCCTGAGGGTCTCTTTTGGTTTGGGGGGTTTAGTAGGATTTGGAATTGAATTCCATTCAAATCATGTGTTTGGTTTGGAGGAAGGTTCGGATTTTGAAATTCTGGGATTTCAATGAAATTCCACAATCGATGGATTTAGAAATCCCTTGGAGATGGTTGTCATCTCAAATCCAAATCCCATGGATTTCAATTGTTTTCATCACATTTCAACCCCACCTCTTTCATTAAATCTGCCCTAATCCCTCCATTGCCTCCAAACAAACAAATTGTTTATAGAACACACAAATATTTATGGAATCCCACAATCATTTTCTCTTTTGGTAAATTAAATGGTTATACTTGAGAAAAAGAAGAGATCTTTCGTCTTAAACTAGCTTGAGGTGATGTTATAGGTCAAGCTGATCTGGGATAAATAGGCATTGTATGGCAGTACATGCTATCTTTCTTGAATTCTGTTTACCTAAAAAGATCGCCATTCTTTTATCAAATATTCAGTGCCCAGGATATATTGGGATCGTTTGGTTTGGTCAAAATACGTCTTTGCTTTCTGAAGAATCATGTTTACATCAATCTTTCACTGCTTATCACTATGGGTGCGTTTGGTATCCAGACAGGATAGCATACGACATTGACATAACAAATGTTGAGCATTTGGTAAGATAGAACTGGACAAAACAGAACAGATAAAATGATCAATTTAACTTGTTTATATTAGTTATATATTTTGATTAATTTATTAAATTATAAGAAAATAAATATTTTTATAACAAAATATATCATTAGAAAGTTTTCATCAAGGGGATTAAAATGACACCAATATAAAAAATTAATGTAGTTATCAGTTTTTTATTTATACCTTTTCTGTATTATTTTATTATTATTAATATTTAATAAATTACATAAATTAACCAGAATATAGAGACTGTATAAAAATAATAATTTGAGGACAATAAAGTGAAAGTTTAAAGAGCATAAAATACAATAAATAAAATTTAAAAGAGCGAATGATGTAAAGAGGGAGGCGCATTTGATGTTTTTGTAGAGAATTAAATTTTATTTTGAGCTTATATTGGTAAAATATAGGTCTGTTCCACCTTGTTCCATATGGGGGGGGTGGAGCACGCCTGTTCCACTCTACATAAAAGTGCTGCCAAACATGGAACCGCAATCCCTGTTTCTTCTGTCCAGTCGAGTGTACCAAAAGCACCCTATATGAATAGTCGTACTGTTTGCCAACACTTTTTTGAATTGCTTCTTTATATATTCTTTATTAAACACGAACTTAAAGAAATATTCTCCTTCCTATTGGCTCTGCTCATTCTCTTTCTGGTATTACAGTGCATGACAAAACAAACTCACTCCAGAAGGAATTGGACGAGCTGCAATCAGAGCTGGAACGAGTTCTATATCTGCTTAAGATCGCCGATCCTGCGGGCGAAGCCGCTAGAAAACGAGAATCCGTTGCAGGTGATGGAAAACCAAACATACCCAAAATCCCAGTTGTAAAGAAACCATCCGTAGAGAAGCATTCACGACACAAAGTGGAAGAAACCGCCCAAAAACAGGGTACTACCAATATCACTACAATATCAAACACGGGCCCCGACCACGAGTCAGCTGAGGTTGTAACAAAAGCTACGGAAACAAAAGCTACTGTATACACCGTTACTAAGCCCCAATGGCTCGGGGCTGTGGAGACCAAAGAACCGAAAAAGGCCCAAGAGGCACCTATGGTTGTGGTGGAATCCGAACAGTTTGTAGATTATAAAAACCGGAAGGAGGTTTTGGGGAAAAAGGAGAATGCACATGTGAATGAGGACTCGGAGCTCGAAAATGCAGCACCTGGTTTGATTATAAGAAAGCGAAAACCGGTTGAGGAGCCGGAAAACGTTAAAGTTGGAGATTCGGATTCAGTTAAGTCGTCTGTAGGAGTAGATATCGCAGCAGAAGATGCTGTAGCGCTGCTGTTGAAACACACAAGAGGAATTCAAGCGTTAGATGATGAAGATAGCCATGGCGGCGGTGAGGGTGGTGCAGCAGATAACCAAGGAAAGAAAGGAAAGAAGAAGGCGAAAAAGGTGATTGGTCCCGAAAGACCATCTTTTAATACCGAACCTGATTACGAGTCCTGGGTGCCTCCAGAAGGTAAGTTCTTCCCCCTAATCATATTGGTTGTATGGCAATAACCGATAAGACAATTGTTGGTTGATAAGTTAGCTAATAACTAGTTTATGATTGGTAAAACCTGGTATAAGCTAGATGACGATATAAAATGACTTAAAAGTACTTGTTCAAAAAACTAGTTGAAAAAAAGATAAAGGGCATACTTTGGAGGAAAAATAAGTGGGAAAAAGCCTATGGAACTTATTGAAATGCTGCTTGAAGTAACGTTTCAAAAAACTAGCTTATTAGGCTTTTTCAGTAAGTAGTGTTTCAAAAAGCTGGCTATAAGCTAGTTTATGGCTAACTAGAGGGGACTTTTTCAATAAGGTCAAAAAATAAGCTAGCTTATGGTTGTTAAACATCGTGGCGTTTTTTATTCATGATCTATCTCTTGCATCAGGTCAATCTGGTGATGGACGGACCTCATTGAATGATCGTTTAGGATACTAACTACAAATGGTATTATTCGGCCACTCCCATGTCGTTTGCAACAATAGAAATAGCATCCTTGCTATTGCTGCTACTGTTACTGATACCGATACTGCAATGGTGATGTGGAATGAGAGTTTCATCGGTTTATTATTTCCCTTAAAAGAACGTTAGCCAGTAGTAGCATTTGTGTATACTAACGAGAGCAGGACGAAACCATCTCACTGCATCAACCAAAACCTCTTCCGGTGGATTTAGGATTCGAAGTTATCGTGCAATATTTTTCTCGCATTTTGGTAAAAGATGTGGTTTATGGCGAGTTCTCCCAAACTCTACTCTGTGTGGGATTCACTGGTTCCTTTAGTTGGCGAAAATTCTTCTGTATGGGATATAGGTTAGGACCCTGCCTCTGTGTGGGATTCACAGGATATACACCCTGGTTTTATTTTGTGTTGTGTGGGATTCACTGGTTCTTTTGGTTAGGGCTTGTTTGTTAGCAGTTTAATGGAACTCATGGCTTATTCGGTCAGCTTACATGACAGTCTGGTAGTGGCTTAATGATATAGAAAGTGACTTATTTAGCAAAACAATCTTATAACAAAGTGAGAATTTTGCATCAGCGTTTTGTATTGTATCTTGCGAAAAACTCGAAATCTTTACTTTTTTAGAACCAAATTAGAATGTTATTCAATCATAATGACATAGAGAAGCAAGAGCTATAAATATTTATTTGGTTTGATCAAATCAATACGCTACACGGTCCGCCTACTTCAATCGATTTCTCAAGTAAATAATAACTCATGTAATTTCCCGCAATCCTATCTTTACTCATACGCCCGGAAAATTTCACTACAGTTGCTGTCATCTCCGATATCCACCAGAAACAACCGACATTATGATCTTCCTACCCCTGTTGCTCCATTTGGCTTGAAACAATCGATATTGCACAAGACCGCCGAACGCATCATACCTCCAAACCTGCCATCAATCCTTAGAATAGTCAAAAATGACCAAAGAGTCATCGATCCATTGATACTGGGTTATCGGTAGATCCCAGTCTCTCTGAGGATGCGGTTGGTATGGACAGGACAGGACATGACAGGACTGGACTTTTTAGCGTTTGGTAAGACAACAATAAAATGACCATTTTTCACCTTGTTCCATGGGATGAGAATGATACAAGTCTGTTCCGCTTTGTTCATGTATATCCCATATAAAGTCATGTTAAACATAGAACAATGATCCTTCCCTGTTCTATCATGTCCAGTATACCAAATGCACCCTGAAAGTCATAGGTTCAAGCGGCTTAAACCTAAGGGAGAGTATGTATGCAGAAAAAAAAAATCTAAGTCTAAGCCATACCCACGGGCCAACTTTTTCTCAAAGTTCAGTCAAGCCCGGCCTGAAAAGCCCGATTGGGCCCTCTTTCAACCCCAGAGCCCAGCCTGGGGCCCAGACTTTTTTGTTTACCGAAAAACAAGCTTCCGGGCTATATACTAAGGAGTGAGTGTCGTGAATAAACATTATATACTTAGAAAGAAGTAAGAAATGCGGTGAAATGTAACCCAACCGGTCGATGCTGTTTCTTGCTTTCTCGGGTTGGTCAATGGCATTGGTTGACTTCCCGACATGTTGCTCCGCGTTCTTCTTTGACTTTTCTCTTCGGTCAACGCTCGATCTTGATTTGTCTCTACAGTCCACACTCGGCCTCGAGTGGTCGGGTCGATCCGTGCTAGGTCTCGGTTTATCTCGACAATCGGTACTAACCCGGTGTTTATCACCATGATCCACAAGGGGCCCGGATAAGTTCTTCAAGCGGCCCGATTTCTCAACGGCCGATATGAATTTCTTAAGATGTCTTATGTATTCTGGGTAGAGCTCCAAATCACAGTGATTCCCACCTTTCACCCATAATGGTTCATATTTCTCTACACAAAGCTCCCAAAGCTCCTTACCATGAGACCAATCCACAACATCATCTGCAGTTCCCTACATCATATCGATAGCGGTACGCATTTTATATACTCCGAATCACCATAAAACCACATCACGACAACGGGAGAAAAGATGCATGTTTGAAATGGCAAATTCGTGGTACAGGGTTCAAGGCCGTTTCTGGGAGAGTCTAGCTTTTAACGAGCTACTCGAGCTCGAGTCGATCTCGAACAGAAATAAAGCTCGCTTAACTTAACGAGTCAGAGCTCCATAATACCAATGTTCGACTCAACTCGTGCGAAACCTCGATTGAACTTTAAGAAATCGAGCCATTTGTGCATATATTTTTTGAGTCAAACATATTTATATGTTTACAAATTATATAATTAAATAATATAATAATCATGGAGCTCGAGCAAATAAATCTCGAGCTCGAGCTCATAAATGAGTATCGAGCTCGAGCCCAAACATTGGATAAAATGGCTGATAAACTAGTCATGTTTGGTAAAAAAAATATCTGAAAAACTAGATGAAAATATAAAATGATCTAAAAGAACAGGGTTTTTTTGTCATTTTTGTAAAATGTAAAATAAACCAAGCACCCTCTTCATTTTGGTGAAGTTTGAACACTTGACAGCCTGAGAGGCTAGGCTCTACCAGTAACCCAGATACTGCTAGATCCTTTCTTTCCTTAACGATGTTTTTTTACAAAATAGCAGCATCAACAATGGATGTAAGCATATTACTTAACCATGTTCAGCTACATTTCGAGCGTGTGTGTGTGTGTGCATGCGATTATCAATCTTAACATGAACTTGTCCCAGATAAACGACAACATACGCAGGAACTTTCAAAAATCGAAGCAAAGGGATATCGAACACTTACATGAATTACCAAAACAGGACACCGGACTAACGTTATCTTGTCAATGTTCTGCATCAAAACCAAATATAATTCATCGATAAGTAAATCATCTCCACAAACACAAAACAATGATAATGTAACTGGCAGATAAACTAGTCATGTTCGGTAAAAACGAGCTAATATGTTCAATAAACTGCCAAACATGGCCTAAATAAGAGAACGAACCTTGTATATATCGAACCAATATGTTCGTTTCACAGGATACATGACTCTGAGTCCCGACAAGATCGGGCTATGAAGAACAACCGCCCTTAATCTCGATAAACGTGACGCTAAATCTAGCGTCGGTCCACTGCCAACGGATTGGCCGTACAATATAATGTCTTCTTCTTTTGCACCATAAGTCTCTAAAAGACATCTATACACAGCTTCTACGTCGGCATAGGTGTTGTGCTCGGTTGGCTATGATAAATAATCAAAACATGTATAGTTTAAAAAAAACCGTCTCATTATCATGCACACTTTTGATTTACGGTTTAGACAATATTTACCTTGCCGGAAGACCGCCCATACCCAGTGTAGTCGTACCTGAACATTGAGCGGAAAAAACACACGTTTTCTAACCGTTAAACAATTGAAACTCGAATTTAAAATACAAATAAATAGAACATCAATTCACATTCCCACTTGAATGTTGGTGATTCTAGTGTTATCAAGCATTTTGGTGTAATTGTGATTCACGAGAAATCACCTAGAGGAAAAGGCATTCATAACGTGAGCTAGAAGGTGCGGAGTGCATACTCACAAATGCTATAAGGCGGGGGTCAAGGGGGCTGTGCCCCCTTCAGGGTCGAAGGGGCAGACCCCTCTACAGATTTTATAAAGAAGATTGCTTTGAAGATTTGAGATTCTGAACATTTCGAGTGAAACTCAAAAGGTTAGAATCCTTTTGCAGCCCTTCATCAACTAAGGATCTTAAAATCACATATATGTACACCCTGGTAACCGTTCATCTGGAAGTATGCACATGTGCATAAAAACCAAGAAACAGCTTCAATTACTCGTATGCACATATACATGTACAGATGAATGGTTACCATCTGGGGGGATGTTCAAATGGTTGTATCAAATTCAGAGGTCACAGAAAGTAGCAGAGATTCATTAATGGACATATATGGCAAAAGTTTGACATCTCTAAAAAGTGATAAAAATGTCATATTTCAAAATTGAGATGATCAGATAGCGAAATCATCAAAAATTTATACCAAAAAACCCCAATCTGATCCTCACAAAACCATACCACAATCCAATTTCCAAATCCTTCCAACAGATAATGAGAATTTAATCATTCAAAAGCTGGAAAAAAAACCCTAGATTTCAGATGCGATATAATCGGAGGTAAAAATTAGGGGAATTGAGACTCACCCCATCAAGTTGACTCGGAGATGAAGACTGAGTTCGCAAAACAACTCGTACATCTGACCCAGATCAGCAGCGTTGCCGTGAGAATAAAGCACCGTCAACGACGCCATCGGATTCTTAACATACACCGCCACAATCTCCGTCCCTCTCTTCGTCTTCAGCTTCAAAACGTCGACGTTCTCCCTCTCCGGCACATCCGTCATCCTCGACGTCTTCCCACCGCTAGATTCGTCCACCACCACCCTGTACGACGGCGGACTCGGCGGAAAAAACGCAAACTTCGCCGCCATCGACGATGTGACCGTCCCCATCTCCGATCAAACTCCGATTACCACTATTTCAACTATCGGAAATTTCAAAAAACAGGTATGAAATTGGTTTGAAAAGATCGAAGTGCAGTGGGAGTATGTGATTTAAATGGGATTAATTTATTAATTAATGATTGAAAAAGCGATTGTCGACTTGGAAACCAGCGATGGAAGTGAGGCACACAGTGAGTGTGAGTGTGTGTGAGGGATTTCCGGCGTCGAAGATGAAAGGGTGGCACGTGTGAATTAAATTGCTGCGGAGAGAATGTCATGATGTAGTGAGGTTGCACGGAAAGTGCATGCAACCTTGGTGTCTTTGACCAGTGTATTTTTGATACATTTATTTGGTATATTGGACATGACATAACAAAATATAAATCAGTGTTTTATGTTGACATGATCTTTTTTATCTAGAACAAAATGGAACAGTTGATTTATATATCTGTTTTATGAAATAGGGTGAAACAGACCTATATTTTACTAATATAACCTCAAAACAAAATTTAATTCTATTCGAAAACATCAAATACGTATCCATGTTTATATTTTATTCATTCTTTAAATTATATTTATTGTATGTAATATTCTTTAAACATTTACTTTAATGTCTTAAACATATTATTTTTATAAATTTCTTGTATTTTGATTAATTTATGTAATTTATTAAGTATTAGTAATAAAAATAATATAGATATTGTATAAAATAAAAATCAAAACCATATAAACTTTTTATTTTTGTATCATTTTTATCGTTTTGACGAAATTTTCTGATGATATGTATTGTCATAAAAAATATTTATTTTTTTATAATATAATGAATTACATAAATTAATCAAAATATGTAAAAGATATAAACAAGTCATCAAAGGTAAATTAGTCATTTTATCTGTTCTCTTTTGTCCAATTCTGTCTTACCAAATGCTAGATAGATATTTCATGTCTGTCTAGATACCGAACACACTCTAATATTATTATACGATTCTTTAAATATCAGATGACCGATTTTGTATAATTAATTTGATTGTTGACGATAACATACTCGTTAAAGGGCAGCTTGCAAGCGTGAATTGGATTGCAGCTTATTTTCTTTGGAGATTTAGAAACTCTCGAGCCTTTAAAGGGGTCAGTTCAAGCTTTGATCTCTTGGATGACATCAAAGTCAATCTTTCAATTACATTTCCTCAATGTGCAATTCTTTATCGATTTCTCGGGTTTCTTGGTTCCACGCCCCTTTTGCTGCGATCGTTTGAGCGCCCTTCTTCTGGCTTTAGTTTTAGTCTGTTGTTTTTTTGTCTAGTTCCTAGTCCTCTTTTGTTTCGGTTTCTTGTTGGGTCTTGGAGCGTTTTACTATTTCTCGTAGATCCCCTCACCGTCTTTTTTGTTTTTCCTCTTTCTTTAATAAAATTTAGAGTATATTGTGATTTTTTGTTCTTGTGGTTTCTTGGTAATTTCGATTCCCGTTGATGTGGTTTAGAAATGGCGATTTTCGTACCTACGATTATCAACTTACTGCTATTTTTATCCCTGGACTAATTCCCATCTTTTAAGTACAAGAGACCAAAACAGTAAAAAATTGTAAACCAAAAGGGCTGCAACAACAATAAATTGTAAATTATAAGAATGAAAATATCAGTGAGCTATACAACCTATGAATGAAAACCATATTTTCTAAATCGTATGAACGAAAATTACAATTTTTAACAAACGATCACAGATATTTTTATCAATTACTTTTCTGAGTAGTTAAAAATTTATCAAACCAACTTTGTATTGAATTATTACTAAAAACATCTATCACCCAACTCATTTAAGACATTTATTACTTTTATTTAATATTTAAATGGGTCCTGTCTCTGTTTCATAACACATGGGTACACAAGAATTTGTGGTGACAAAAATGTATATATCTATTAAAAGAAAAAACTAAGAGAATTAAGGTGGTATCATGAGAATTGAGTATTGAGGTGGTGATGAATTGTGGTTGAGTTTGAGGTATTTCACATCGATGAAAGATTGAAATAAGAAGGCGTGTGTAAGAAAGAATGATGAGAGTCATTGTTTCAACTCATGAGGCTTGGCTTATAAGGTTATCTTATTTGGATGACTCTATCTTTTTAAAAATCATGAAATAACTCTGAAAAATGATTCTTCAGACTTGAATTTAGAAATGAAACTATATCAATAATTAGCTAAAATGAAGTTAACCCTAGAGTAAAATTATATGTGTTATTTTGAACAAATATAGACATATTTTTGGCAACAAAAAAAAAACCTTTTATAGCCGACATGTTAACCAACAAAACTCGTCTTACTGAACTCCTTGACAACATCAGCAAGTAAAAGTTGAAAGCTGTCACGATAAGCTGAAAGATGTCTCTTCAGTGATAGATGAAAACTGTCACGATAAGCTGAAAACACAAGTTGAAGGTTGTCAGCAATAACCTGTCAGATTAGCTGCAGGCTGTCAGTGATAAGCTGTCAGCGATTAGCTGAAAGCTGTCACAATAAACTGAAAACACAAGCTAAAGGCTGTCAGCAATAAGCTGTTAGATTAGCTAAAGGAAATTAGACTGAACTAAATCCCGTTTAGTAGGGAAATCGGTTAAACCACAATAAAAAAAGATACATTTTTAGAGGAATAGATGTCAACCAAATATGCTTATTTGAACCACTAATGTAAATTGTGTCTAGATACATGTTTAGACGGGAAAATAAGATAATCGACTCACCAGAAGATGACACGTGTCACCCAAGTTACTTATTTATTAGGTGTATATATATATATATATATATATATATATATATATATATATATAGAAGAACCAAGAGGTAATTAGGTGCA